CTGAAGCTGGAGCTGGAGACCTGCACTGCCTGTGTGTGAAGACCACCTCCGGAGTCCATCCCAAGCACATCTCCAGCCTGGAGGTGATCGGGGCCGGACTCCACTGCCCCAGCCCCCAACTGATGTGAGTCCTTGCACTTCTTCTTCCGCGCCTCCCTCGGCCCCTCTGCCCTCCCCTACCGCCCCTCCACACCCGCCTCCACGCCCCTCCACCTTCAATCCCAGTGACTGAGAGGTGTGTCTTCTCTTCCCCCCACCCCTGCAGAGCTACGCTGAAAAAAGGGAGGAAAATTTGCCTGGACCCGCAGGCCCCTCTGTATAAGAGAATAATCAAGAAACTTTTGAAGACTTAGCTACTAACTGCCCAAATCTATACTTTGGCTATACGATGGGTTTCTTTTTCTTTTCTTTTTTTCGTTTTCAATCTAACTGTGGAAAAAGTCTTCTGATGTTTTTATTACCCTTGAAATGCTACGTAAATAAAATAAATCAAGTTGTGGTATAGTCAATATTTCTTAATAGACCAAAGAAATAGTGTTGACACATCAAAGTTTCATATAAGGAAAAATCTCCAGAATTAAGGAAAAAAATATTTTTGAGGAAGATTTGGTTTAATGAAGATTGGTTTTACTTGGTGTTACATGTTCGCTGATACATATTTGCTTATTTACATGATTGCGTTACTCAATAACTTACATACTATTGTTATGATTAGCTTTGCACTTAAATATTAATAAATAAATACTAACCACACTTAAGTCTTCTGGGCTGTTTTTTTAAAAAAAAAATAAAAAAATAAATCAGACTCTGCTTTTATCCCTTTAAGATTTATCCTTTACCCCAGTATGGAAAATTAATAAAAATGAAACTAGGATTCTCTACTACTTAATAGAAATAAATTGATACTTTTCAGAGAATTACATTAAAATATTTTACTCTTTATTGGCTCTTTGATAATACTGACATTGCACAAAAATAAAATACTAAAATAATTCTTGCAACCTTTATTGTCCATAATAAATCCCACATTCACAAACCTACAGAATTGGTTCCCATCACATTTTATTTATATACCATGAGTGCTGCCTAAAAATTGGCCTCTATACCCGGATGGCCAAATAGAGAGTCGGAGGTAGAGTTTTGGGATGGTAGAAAAGAACACTTTATTGCTTTCCCAGGCAGAAGGAATCACAGCAGGCTCATGCCTTAAAAGACTGTGAGCCCATCTTGGGGTTGGGGTCTTAAGGTTTTATAGAAAAACTGGGTGGAACAGAAAAGGTGACAACAATGAGTGCATTTTACAGGGTGTTACATTCTCTTCACATTGATAAGAACTTGCTGTTGTTATGGAGGAACTGAGAAGGGTCTGCCTGTTTTCTTGAGGTTGGGTTCATGACCTTCTTTCCAGAACTTTAGGGTGAAAGGACAAGTTATTCTAAGAAAAGAGTGCCCCGGGAAGGGAGCATATTAGCCATAAGATCAATTTATCTAGAAGTAAGTACAGTCCTGGACAACTCAAGAGCCATCTTGTTAGTTTTCTACTCTTTCATGAGTTTTGCACTAAGCATGAAAATGTCTTGAAGAAATTTTTTCCCTCAGTATTAGGTTCAATAAAACCTTGTTTGCAGTTTACTACTTTCCATGAATTTCTTAATATTGGAGATACTGAAATTGTGATTAAAGAGCTGTGGAAGTTAGGAGAAATGCAAAGTTGTATTTCATTCAAGCTTTAAGAAGACACTCATGTACTCTGGCGAGAAAGGATGGTGTTGAAAGATGGCTGTGTTAGTTACCTATTAACTTCAGTACATAACAAAGTACCATAAGTTCAACGGCTTAAACAACACGAATTTATTATATTTCAGTTCTGGAAGTCACAAGTCCAAAATGCAGTTTACAGCCTAATCTCAAAGTGTCCTTAGAGCTGCATTCCTTCTGGAGGTTCTAGGGGAGAATCCATTTCCTTGTCTTGCTCAGCTTTGGAGGTCCTCTGCATTCTTCAGCTCCTGACCCCTTCCTCTATCTTCAAACTACTTCACTCTGACCTCTGCTTTCGTTGTCACCTCTGACACTTCAACTTACACCCTGCCTGCCTTTTAGAAGAACCTTGTGATTATGCTGTGCCCACTTGGATGATCCAAGGTAATCTTCCCATCTCAAGGGCCTTAACATATTTGTGAAGTCCTTTTTGCCATATAAGGTAACATTTGTGCCAGGTTCCAGGGATTAGGACATGGAAATCTTTATTCAGCCTACCACAGTGGACAAGAAGGCAGAATCTAGTTGAGGCTAGAGGAAGCTGCAGACCCTTACCAGTGAACTAATGTCATTTCAACCTAAGGTAGTATTGTTTGTGTACAAGTAGGGTTAGACTCCTAAGAGAAAGTGGAGAATGGTCCAATTCTGTTTCCTTGGAGTTGGGGGAGAGAGAGGAAGAAGGCTTTGAGATAAGGAACTACTTAAATAGACTCTACTTACAGAGGTCTATGAAGTGCCAGAGTATTATCTAAACGTCCACACCCACTTTGCATGTTAGGTGATGTTAATTCCATTGTAGAGTTGTGGTAACCATCTCAGAAAGGTTAAGGAAGCTCCCAGGGCCGGATTGTCAGGAGGTTGAGCAGATCAGTCGGACTTCCAGCTCCCAGCTCTTGCTTTCACTGTCCTGCCTTTCACACAGGCCAGTGGTATGTTAGCTAGGTTTTCAGAGAGGAACTAACCCATAAACCAGCTCTTAGAGGTGGAGTAGGAATTTGTCAGGGGGAAAAGGGAAGAATGAAACTGACACATGATAGAAAGTAGAAAGACATAAGGTCGTATGAGCTGCTTATATATTCTGGAGATCAAGCCTTTGTCAGTTTCATCTTTTGCAAAAATTTTCCCCCATTCCGTAGGTTGTTCTTTTGTTTTGTTTATGGCTTCCTTTGCTGTGCAGAAGCTTGAAAACAAACAACCCAATCCAAAAATGGGCAGAAGACCTAAACAAGCAATTTTCCAAGGAAGAAATGCAAATGATCAATAAGCACATGAAAAAATGCTCAATATCACTAATTTTCAGAGAAATGCAAATCAAAACTACAATGAGCTATCACCTCACACCAGTCAGAATGGCCATCATTCAACAGCTCACAAATGACAAATGCTGGAGAGGCTGTGGGGAAAAGGGATCCCCCTCTACACTGCTGGTGGGAATGCAGTTTGGTGCCACCACTGTGGAAAACAGTATGGAGATTCCTCAAAAGACTAGGAGTAGACTTACCATATGACCCAGGAATCCCACTCCTGGGCATATATCCAGAAGGAACCTTACATCAAAAAGACACCTGCACCCCAATGTTCATAACAGCACTATTTACAGTAGCCAAGACATGGAAACAGCCTAAATGTCCATTGACAAATGACTGGATAAAGAAGAGGTGGTATACTTATACAGTGGAATACTATTCAGCCATAAAAATAGCAACATAACACCATTTGCAGCAACATGTGTGTCCCTGGAGAATGTCATTCTAAGTGAAGTAAGCCAGAAAGAGAAAGAAAAATACCATATGAGATCGCTTATATGTGGAATCTAAAAAAAAAAGAACAATACAAAACAGAAACAGACTCATAGACATAGAACACAAACTTGTGGTTGCCAGCGGGGAGTGGGGTGGAAGGGACAGACTGGGAGTTCGAAATTTATAGATACTGACAGGCATATGTAGAATAGATAAACAAGATTATACTGTATAGCACAGGGAAAATATACAATCTTGTGGTAGCTCACAGTGAAAAAGAATGCAACAATGAATATACGTATGTTCATGTATAACTGAAAAACTGTGCTCTATACTGGAAATTGACACAGCATTGTAAACTGACTATAACTCAATAAAAGAAATGTAAAATAAAAAAAAAGAAAAGAAAAGAGAGACTGAAGTTCAAGTCCTCAGCACGTTGATCATTCTGCAGAACTAAGTGCCCATGAGGAAGGTAAATGATAGTCTCCCAACTAGTTTTCACTCATTTGGTGTTTTTCACTTTTGGTCCACCTTGTGCATCATCACTCAAATTATCTTCAAAGTCCAAAGTCCTTAGCATGGCACCCAAGGGTGTGCCACTTTCCCTCTGTGCCTTAGTTTCCTCATCTCTAAAATGGGGATGGGTGTCTACTTCATATATTACTGTGAGGACTAAATGGATGATTTATGCAAAACACGTGGCATAGTTCCTCATACATAGTCTGTGTTTAAAAATCAGCAAACATTAATTATTATTATTCTCTCAATATTGCTCTTAATCCACAATTCCAGTCAGTTTGGAGTGTTGAGTCAGGCAGTTAACAGAATAATCCTTGGTGATAAGTAGCCAATAAAAAGTTGTAATAACAATAAAAGTTTCTCGACCTGGACACAAGCGGAGACGAAGGTGAAGGTGGCGGAGCAGGTCTGAGCAGGGGCGGTGATCCCCGGAGGAAGCGAGCAGAGCAGGGGTGGCGGGCGGTCCTGTGGGGACCAGAGCACCTGGGCTGGACTCCGCTCTGGGCAGGCCAGAAGGGGCACAGCACGCATGTCGCTCACCCAGCCCTTGTAGGACACGTGCCCAGGAAGCCCCTTCCCCACCCGCGGCACTTCTGAAGTGGCACTACATTATCTCCCAGGGACCCTGATGCTGCAGGCAAAGAACAGCCCAGGGGTGCTCACGGGGCTTGGAGTGAGCTGCGGCACTCCAAGACAGGACAAGCCACTCTTGGGACACACACAGCGGTGGAGGGCCTGAATGCTCTTTCTCAGCCAGAGAGCCATCTTCCAGCCCCAGAGACCACCGTGAACTCTGCAGCACAGAAGACAGCTGCTGCTGGGGAAATAGCTTCCCTCTGACCTTGCATGTTACACCGCCCTTCGGTCAGAGATGGGGGACAGGGATGGAGCCACGGATGGAGGGAGAGAAGAGGCTTGGACCCAGAGGAAGACAGCCGCCCACCCAAGAGGCCGTGCTGGCAGGCGAACAGTACAAACCTGGGCCTCCACCAAGGCCCCATAGGTCTATCCTCTGACTGCTAGATGCGGGGACATGCCTGGCTCCACAGTGGCCTTCGGCTGCCTGGTCTGGGGCTACATCCCTGAGCCGGTGACGGTGACTTGGAACTCGGGCTCCCTGACCAGCGGCGTCCACATCTTCCTATCAGTCTTCATGTCCTCGGGGCTCTACTCCCTCAGCAGCTTGGTGACTCTGCCTGCCAGTAGCTCGACCGGCAAGACCTTCATCTGCAACATAGCCCACCCGGCCAGCAGCACCAAGGTGGACAAGCGTGTGGAACCACATGGAGGGTGCACGTGTCCCAAATGTCCGGCCCCTGAGCTCCCGGGAGGGCCCTCCGTCTTCGTCTTCCCCCCGAAACCCAAGGACGTCCTCTCCATTTCTGGGAGGCCCGAGGTCACATGCGTTGTGGTGGACGTGGGTAAGGAAGACCCAGAGGTCAATTTCAACTGGTACATTGATGGCGTGGAGGTGCGAACGGCCAACACGAAGCCAAAGGAGGAACAGTTCAATAGCACGTACCACGTGGTCAGCGTCCTGCTCATCCAGCACCAGGTCTGGCTGACGGGGAAGGAATTCAAGTGCAGGGTCAACAACAAAGTTCTCCCGGCCCCCATTGAGAGGACCATCTCCAAGGCCAAAGGGCAGACCCGAGAGCCGCAGGTGTATACCCTGGCCCCACACAGGGAAGAGCTGGCCAAGGACACTGTGAGCATAACCTGCCTGGTCAAAGGCTTCTACCCAGCTGACATCAACGTTGAGTAGCAGAGGAACGGGCAGCCGGAATCAGAGGGCACCTACGCCAACATGCTGCCCCAGCTGGACAACGAGGGGACCTGCTTCCTCTACAGCAAGCTCTCGGTGGGAAAGAACACGTGGCAGTGGGGAGAAACCTTCACCTGTGTGGTGATACACGAGGCCCTGCACAACCACTACACCCAGAAATCCATCACCCAGTCTTCGGAGCCACTCCTGGAGGAGGAGAGCTGTGCCAAGGCCCAGAGTGGAGAGCTGGACAGGCTGTGGACCACCATCTCCATCTTCATCACCCTCTTCCTGCTCAGCGTGTGCTACAGCGCCACAGTGACCCTCTTCAAGGTGAAGTGGATCTTCTCCTCGGTGGTGAAGCTGAAGCAGATGATCGTCCCAGACTACAGAAACATGATCGGGCAGGGGGCCTAGCGTGTCCTCTGGGGGTGTCCACGGCCACCACAGGCCCCAGAGGTACCCCGTTCATCACTCTGAGCTGCTCAGCCACTACTCCGCCCGCTGCCCTGCCAGCTCTGAACTCTCGGCCGTGCTCACCCGCACCTGCATCCTCCGACCTCACGGCCACCACCAACCACACCCTGCACCCTGCCCACCTTCAGGGGCCAAGTGGACAGCAGGTGCTACCACCAACCTGAGCTGAGGGGTCTGCCTGTCCTCACTGGGAGTGCCCGGGGCACCCTGGGGTTCCCCTGGATGAGCAGGAAGCTGGCATCCCGGGGCAGTGGGCAGGGATTGCTCTGTGGACACCATCAGTTTGGTCATCAAGCAGGGTCCCCAAGGGGAGGTGCCTGTGTCAGATCCTTGGTGGGAACATATGCAGCCCTGGCCAACGACTCGCAGCACGGAAGCTTCTAGATGTGCCACCAACAGTCAGCCAAGTACTCAGCTCTGAGAAGGGCCAGGGCCCATGGCCCCTGCAGGAGCCAGGCCTGCCAGGAAGGGGGTGAGGTCTCCCCACTTCAGCTTCCCAGAGACGGGCCTGGTGACCGGGTCCCCCATGGGCAGGACACAGCCTTGCTGGACACAGCAAGAGGGACACTGGCAAAACAGGGCAGTGGCCGCAGACAGCCTGTCCCATGGCCAGCGGCCTAAGTGACCTTCAGCAGGAGCTCCCCTGCACCGAGGGGTGGGATGAGAGGCAAGCCCTGGGAGGAGGGAGCCCGATAACCTGGCGTCCCCGCCCCAGACCCCTGGGCCTCTCCTGTCTTGTCCCTGGATGGGGAGGGGCAGGCCCCACTGCCGGGTGGTGGCGGGGGAGGGAGGGCGCGCTACAGCCAGAGGTCATGCCAGGCCTGGCTTGGGAAGCTGTGCATCCTTTCTAAACGTCTGGAGCCCATGAACTTTCTTTACTGTTTTTTCTTTGGAAATTCTGGCTTGTCATGTTTTCGGTTCTTTAGACAATAAAGCATCCTTTACCATTCAAAAAAAAAAGTTTCTCAAAACAAATAAGCTTTGAGAGAATACATTGGAAATGGGGTGTGGGTGGTACATACTTTTTTGCTTATATTCCTTTTACTTCCTGCTTCAAACAACATGCTTAGTTAGAGTCAATAACTTGTAGGTATGACTCAAAAAGCCAAAGGACCTAAGCAAATTTTACAAAGTCTACCAATGCTGGTGACTTGTAAATCTTCCCTTCAGAATTAGCTTGGCTAACTAGCCTGAGAACTCTTTCAAGCTGCCGCCTTTATCAGCAATAGCATTTGGGAGAGGGTTTTCCTGCTGGGAAGAGTCTGCTGTATAACATTAATGGAGTGATAAGGATTGAATGAGCTTGAACTTTGTTTTCTTTCCTTCCTTCTTTCTTTTTTTTTTTTCCTGGCTGGAAGTAGTCAGCAGAAAATGCCCACAAACAAGGCTTTTCCCGCATAGTCACAGGCCCTATCAACAGAACAAAACCACCAAAGGGTATTTTGCTCCCAGATGTCCTTCTGCATTTTTAAAATGCTTGCTTTTTTCCCCCCTTATAAGGCCTTTGTGGTAAAAACAGTTTCCTCTTCAATGCATACAGCATTGAGGGCTTATTTTGTTATAAAAATATTTTTATACTTTCTCTCATTCCAAAAGACAATGAATGCATGCTCATTATAGATAGCATAGTGATACAGAGGAAATAAGGAGGAAATTTAAAAAAAAACTGTAATTTCACTGCTCTAAAATGTTCTTTTTCTTTTTCAAAATATTGGTCATTTGATATAGTTATAAGGTGAACAGCTAATTTTCAATAAAATATCATTGTACACAGTCACCAAGGAACACAGTAATGACTTCATTGCACTGAAACTAGTTAGGGAGCATTCCTGTCCCAATTTTGGATAATAAGTTTTTCCTTGGGCAGAGAAATAGTATAAAACTCAAGTGCCCTAGCATCCACTTACACATTTGTAGATACTGTGTATGTATGTATTCACTGTGCAGGTGTATGTATGTATTTAAAGACACACACTGTTGCTGAAATATCGGCCCCCATCCCTGACGAGCCAAATAACTCAGAGATAGGGTCTTGGAGCTTACAAAAAAAGAGGCAGCTTTATTACTTTGCTGGGCAAAGGGGACTCACAGCAGGATAGTGCCTTTAAAGCTGTGAACCCCCCTTGGGGATGGGGCAGGGCGATTATATAGCCATAGCTCAAACAATGAAGCATCAATGACAGTAACAGAATTATTTTCTCATCAGAAGACTTAGAGTGGCACTGAGACAGGAAGGGGGCAGGGCACGGCCATTCAAGGAATGCTACAGCGATTAACATCAAAATAGTGAAAGATTCAACCCCCAGTGGGCCTTGAGGCTCAAGATAGTGGAAGCTTTGACTTCTAGTAGACCTTGAGCTTCATTATAGGACCATTGTAATGTATTAACATGGTGAATAACATGCCCACAGGTGCCATGACAGTCCCAAGGCTAACCATAAAAGGTCAAAGAGTGGGAAATGGCCAACTTCCTGGGAATCCCAGCCCCTTCCTCAGGCTAGTTAAATGGTCCTTTCACTTATTAGCTTCTCAAGCCACTGAGTCCATAAAAACCTGGCTACACGGCACCTCGTGGGGCCACCTCTTTCTCTCTCTCTCCATTCGGAGATGACCCACACTCTGTCTATGGAGTGTGTACCTACTTTTACTCTAATCTGAGCACCCAACCCCCTCACCTCATGGCTTTTCTCTTGCCTTTCAATGTATCTCTGTAAATAAATCTACCTTTACTCAACTGCGGCTCGCTCTTGAAGTCTTTCCTGTGCGAAGCCAAGGACTTATACTTGGCGGGGCACGTCCCAGGGGCTCAACTGAAGCCTGGGACACCGCACTCCTCACTCCCCACATCTGTTTCCGGCATCAGTGTCATAATGTCTCCAGGTGACCAATTCTATAGAGGCCAACGGTTGTCACTTTTTCGATCTCTTTATCTCATAAGTGCCCAAGGTGTGGTCTTTTTGGTATTTAGCCTACTTTGTAAGGGTATAGTGAAGGAGGATTAATCAAATGGCTGCACTTATTGCTTATTCTTATGCTCGCCCTTCAAACAGTCAACCCACCTGACTGATCGGTTGCTACTCACAGCTCCAGGCCCACTGCTAAAACTAAAGCTATTGATCTTACAGTTTCTACTATATTCCAGCAATCAAAAGCTATAATTATGCTTCATCTCTGAGTCAATCTCCAGGGAGAAGGTCACCTGTGACCTTACAAAATAGCCTGAATTACCAAGAAGACCACACCTTGAGTGCTTAGAAGATAAAGAGATCTAACAGCTGGCCTCTGTAGAGTTGGTTGCCTGGAGGTATCATGCCGCTATTGCAAGTCTTCTGATGAGAAAATGACTCTGTTGCTTGTTATCGGTGCTTCACTGTTTGCGCTATGGCTATATAACCACCCTACCCCATCCCCAAAGTGGGGTCACAGTTTTGAAGACACTTGCCTGCTGTGAGTCCCCTTTGTCCAGCAAAGTAATAAAGCTCCCACTTTTCTTCTAAACTCCAAGACCTTGTCTCTGAGTTATTTGGCTCATCAGGGATGATCTTTCGGCAACAACAGTTCCGTGACTTTCTCCCTGGACTTCGACTCAGAGAATGAGCATGATTATAGCTTTTGATTACTGGAATATAGTAGAAACAGTAAGATCAATAGCTTTAGTTTTAACAGTGGGCCTGGAACTGTGAGTAACAACTGGTCAGTTAGGTCAGTTGACCGTTCTAAGGGCAAGTATAAGAATAAGCAGTCTGTTAGTCTAAATGTGGCCATTTTATTAATCCTCCTTCAACACATCCCTAAAACAAGTTCATAATGCAATACTTGTACCTACTTTGTATGCTGTGTGTTTAAATTAATTTTTTATTATAGTACAGTTGATTTACAATGTTGTGTTAGATTAGGTGCACAGCAAAGTGATTCAGTTATACATATGCATATATATGAAATGGAGCAGACTCCTGTGGGATCCTGCCTGGTACAGATACCTTCTGTGGCCTCCATTTCTAGTTAGTAAGGGATAGGCTTCATTCAGCCTCCTTGACCTTCCCTGAGTTCCAAAGGGCAGATTCAAACATTTGCTAATCAGGGAAGGGAGGGAATGCAGGCCAAACAGTCAAAATATAATAGCACAGCCTCGGGGCAGGGTGCTGGTTTCTCCTCAAGGAATACACACACCAATATCTTTGAGTTCTCCTGTAGGAACTAAAGCCCCTACCCAGGTGGAGGATGGGAACTTCCGTGGCAGTGAAAGATCCCTTGAACACCATCCTGTTACCTTAGCACCAACCAGTCAAGAAGAAAGTCACACACCCTGCAGCCCTCACCCCAAATTATGCCTATAAAATCTTTTCCTGAAAACCATCGGGGAGTTCAGGCTTTCTGAGACTGCGCTGCCCATCCTCCTTGCTTGGCCCTGCAATAAACCTTTCTCCAAACCACAACTTTTTGATTTGTTTGGCCTCACTGTGCATTGGGCACAGGAGCTTTTGTTTGGTAACATACATGTGTAAGTATGTATTCTTCAGATTCCTTTCCGTTATAGGTTATCACAAGACATTAAATATAGTTTCTTGTGCTGTACAGTAGTCCTTTGCTTTTATGATGTGTTTTGATATTTTATTTCCTATACTGTCCTATCCTACTTCAACCACTTTTTAAGAAATGTTGGCTACAAGCTTATAAAGTGATTTCAAAACCCACTGATGAATCGTTACTTGTAGTTTAAAAACATTGTCTAGTTCTTTGAAGAGTCAAGTTTTAGCATTCCAACGTAACATGTGGGAGGCCACACTCTAATTAGTGCTTCCCAAGATGCTTGGTGAGTCAGTAGGGGCAGGATGCATGTGACCAGCAGGACAGTTAAATCTTGCCTATAGTGCACCTTTAATTTCAATCTGCAGGCCCGACCTGGGCTGGGAGTCTTTGGGAACACCATTGAGGGGTAGCTTTTGAAGAGAAGATGTAGCACCAAGTGTTAGAGCAGGCAGATAGCTAGACCTGAGCAGAGGAAGGGGAATGCAGGCCAAATGGCAGAAGTTGGGCAGAAAGGAGAGACACAGGCCCAATGCAGGAAACCATACATCATGTAAACACCACGGGTCCCTGGGTAGAGAAAGAAGAGCAGGAACCTCTAGGCTGATAAGTGGTCACATTTTGGGGGGTGATAAGTGGCCCAGAGGCCAACAAGGAAAAGTGGGAAAAGGCAGGAATCTCCAGTGTCTGAATGTAACATTTTTCTCATTATGCCCTCATTACGATA